AGGGAGCCACATGAGGAGGCAGTCTGCCCCTTATCAGAGCTCAAGTGCTGTGCTGGGAGATCTGTTGCTCTCTTCAGAGCTGCTGGACAGGGATATTTAAGTCTGCTGAAGCAGAACCCACAACCACCCCTTTTCCCAGGTCCTATGTCCCAGGAATGTAGGAGCTTTTTAAAATAAGTCCCTGACAGGCTACCGCTTTTTTTCAGAGATGCCCTGCCCAGCAAGAAGGGATCCTAATCACTGTCTGCCTGCAGAGGCGCTGCTGAGCTGCCATGGCTCTGCCCAGTTGCTGTGTAAACTTCCCAGGGGCTTTATTTACACAGGCAAGGTTAAAAGCACCTACCTGAGCCTCAGCAATGGGGGACACCCCTTCCCCCCACTAAGCTCATGTCCCAGATTGAGCTCAGACTGCTGTGCTGGCTGTGAGGATTTCAAGCCAGTGGATCTTAACTTGCTGGTCTTCCTGGAGGTGGGACCCCCTGAGCCAGATCACTTGGCTCCCTGGCTTCAGCTCTCTTTTCTTCAGGGGAATGAGCGGTTCTGTCTCGCTGGATTTGCAGGTGCCATGGGGGTATGAGAAAAAAAAAAAAAGAAAACTGCTGTGGCTAACACAGCCACCCAGTTTTGTGCTGGAAACCCGGGGAGCTGGTGTTGTAGGAACCAGAAGGAGTCTCCTGGTCTACAGGTTGTAAAGACCGTGGGAAAAGAGCAGTATATGAGCACGAGTGCTGGAGTGTCCAGAAAAGTCCCTAATGGCTTCCCTTGACTAGGAGAGGGAGTTCTCCAGCCCCTTGGCTTCCCAGGTGAGTCTACACCCCACCCTGCCTCAGTTGCCCTCCTTGGGCTGCACTCACTGTCTAACCAGTCCCAATGAGATGAACCTGACCTCAGCTAGAAATGTGGAGATCACTCGCCTTCTGGCTTGCTCTCGCTAGGAAGTGCAAACCAGAGCTGTTCCTATTCGGCCATCTTGGCAGAAGTCCACTCTTGATTCCTAACACAGATTAGTTCTGCTAGTTCTACTTGAATGGTATTATGTAGTCACTATCTTGTCCCTGGGTCTCACCATCTTGACGTGTGTGGTCATAGCCTATTCACTCCCATGGCTGTCCAACATTCCACTTTATAATAGCTCACACTTCTCATCCCTTCACTATTGATAGACAATTGTTTTGTATCCAGATCCTACAAATCATGCTGCTATGAATAATATTTTTATGTATTTTGGCACACACATACACACATTTCTATTGGTTTATAACTAAGAGTGCAATTGCTAGGTCATAGGTGAGTAGATGCTTGTCTTAGTCTCTCAAAAAACAAGTTTCTAGTAGTAAACACATAGAGGAGGGTAAATCTCTTACTTTAGAAATTATTAGATAAGTGAGGAACGAATGAGAGATTTAGACTATAATAACTCTTTTGCAACCCATCGTGAATTAACAGATTTAACCATTGAATAGCAATGACAATTAATAACAATACAAGAAAAAACTAATGTTTGGTTCTTCCTCTTGATGCAAGAACAGAATCCAGTACCATGAAACAAGTCCAAGTGAAAAATAAATCAAGACTGAATCTCAGCTAACCTCCATGGCCAATTACCAATTTACAGGCAATACAGGTAATAGAAATACATATTCAACTATGCCTTGGGGAGCAATCAGTAAAATACACACTACGGGAAGCTCTACCACACAATATACATTTCAATGAGAATCTATAGAATAAAAGAGAAAAAGCATATTTCTAAAGGTAAAACTAAATTATAATTTTAGACGATAAAATTATAAAATAGAACAAAGAAGTGATGATCATAAAAGTCAGAAGAGAAAAGAGTTTACCGCTGGGCTGGGGCAAATGATGGGACTTCTGGTTTGCCCCCCCTCAACATCTATCCCTGGTGGTTAATGGGTGTTTACTTTTTATTAAAGGACACAAATTTTAGACAGTTTTTTTTCCTTTTGGAGTCCTATATTTTATTGTCTGACACAAAGGCTAATGAAAAAATAATTTATAAAGTATGATTCCTGTTTTGCACAAAGCCTCCTCTGCATTTTCCTCTCTGAACACCGAGCACCCAGAACAACCAGCGACCCCAGGAGCCCCAGCAGGGTGACCTCACTTCTAAGTGTGCATGCAGCTCACGTCACCAGAGGCAATATACAGGTTTATTCCTTGACTTTTGGAAAAACCTGATAGGACACAGCTGAGGGGAAGCCTTCTCTGCCGTCTGCAGGCTCTTGGCCATCAGTGTAGCGGGAGCTGGTCCTCACCTCTCCACAGGTGCCTTCGTGGCCAGAGCCTCCTCTCTGCATGGAGAGTAAGGCCTGGCCCTTCCCCTGAACACGTGACATGGATCTCGCCAAAGGTGAAGATGACACCATTCCTACCCCAGCAACCTCACACTTCTTTTGCTTTACAGGAAAGTTGATTCAACCTGGTGTCCAGTGAAGAAATCCCAACTGCAAAGGAGAGGTGGATCTCAGGGCTGTGCGTGATCTGCAAAAGGAAGCGCATGAACCATCAGGTAGCGCTGCTGCGCTGCTTCTGCTCCCAGGAGGTGGATGTCCAGGATGAGCTTTAAGGTGGAGAGTTGGATGTCATTGCTCATCCTACAGGTTCCAAGTAAAAAGCTTTCTGCCCAGCCCATCTCGTTCTCCTTAAATCCTCAAGGCCAATGAGGACCGTCTCCTCACCTCCTTGGACTAGGCTTTTTAACACTGGAAAGTGGATGTGATTTCTAGTTTCAGCATGTTCTGGTTTATTGCCCTGCCAGTAAAATAAAGTCAAAATATACATCGAATAAATAACAACTAAAATAACCATAGCGAGCAAAGATTTACATTGTATTTTTTAGAGTCAAGATGCCCCTCTGTGACTGGGCTGGAGTCCAGTGGTGCAATCATAGCTCACTGCAGTCTTGAATTCATGAGCTCAAGGGATCTTCCCACCTCAGCCTCCCCAATACCTGGAAATATAAGTGCTCACCACCACGCCCAGGTAAGGGTACTTATTTTTATTTTATTTTTTAGAGATGAAGGTCTCATATGTTGTCAAAGCTGGTCTCCAACTCCTGATCTTAAGCGATCCTTTTGCCTTAGTATCCTGAATTGCTGGGATTACAGGCATGAGCTGTCATCCTGGCTCGTACTGTACTGACACCATCAAGATTTCCTCCTCCAAGTGTGGACACAGCAGCAGACACCCCTTGTCTCTTGGGTCAGGACACTGGATAGAGTGGAATAACAAGGCAACAGAGTCACTGCAGAAAGTGCTCACATGGAGGAGGTCCAGCAGGGAGGGCCAGCTGTCCCAGGGCTCCCATATTTAGGGATAACTCCTCTTTCTGGGCAGGACTGTTCTTTGATTACCTTTGTATTCATAATAGTTCTGAAATCATAGGATGATGAGACTCAAGACTGGCTAAGATTTTTTTTTTTTTCCAAAAAAACCATCTCGAAGATTTGTTGATCTTTTGAAGTTTTTGTGTGTCCCAATTTCCTTCAGAATTTAATTAATTCTTAACATTTCATAGTTCACTTTCAGTCAATAATGTACTAGCACCCATAAATATGGAAAACTTGCAACCATTTATCCTCTATAAAATGTTCAACTTTTATGATATAGATATTATATGTAATATATCTATATAGGTTATAAGCCCCACAAAAAAGAACTTTTTACTTTTTCTTATCTTTAAACAATTGGATGTATATAAAGTAAGAGTAAA